GCTATGTGTCAGGCACTTAGGTAATAGGGAGTTCAGCTGCAAACTGAAGAGACAAAAATCTGTTTTCATAGAGCCTCCAATCTAGTTGGTGAAGACAAACAAGGAGTAAAACATAGAAAGCCAGATAACTCAAAGCTCTGTGAGGAAAAAAGGTGCAAGATGGGGACCCCCGGATAAGGAATGGGGGGTTGCAGCTACAAACAGGATGGCAAAGGGAGGGCTCAATGAAAAGATGATAGAAGGACAGCATTGCAACCATTTGTGATACAGATAAATACTGGCAGCAACCTAAATATCCATCTATAGGGGACTGGTTAAATGTATTATGCTGCATCGATATAGTAGAATACTGTACAACTAATAAAAATATAAGTTCTGCATATATAGAATGATCTCCCAAAATACATAAAGTGATAAAAACACAGCAGATTTTTAAGAAATGCACAGATCCCAGTGGAAAGATCTGTAAACTGTTGATGATGGTTATCTTTGGAGTAGAGAACAGGACGATTCATGGACAGGAAAGTGAAAGTGAGGTACTGTTTCATTTTACTGTGTATATGTACTCCTTATACGTAAATGAGATGTAAAATGAAGATACGGAGACTGATTGCCCAATTCGAAAATGATGGGAAAACATACACATGTATAAAACCTACTGGCCTAGATAGTGAGTGAATGGGATATTTAATAGAAAGAAGGGTGAGTTCACTTCTGGAGAAGTTGCTGATGCTGACCATTCTGACACAAGGCCAGATCCCATTTTGATTGGGTAATGGATTGTAGTGATCAGGACTGTAACATTTTGATTCAGGTGACTTTTTTCGCTCTTCTAGTTAAATGGAAGGTATATTTCCTAGGGCTGCCACAAAGAAGTGTCACAAACAGAAATGTGTTGTCACAGTTCTTGGGACTAGAAGTCCACAGTCAAGGTGTCAGCAGAGTCGTGCTCCCCTGGAACCCATGGGGGATGAGTCTTGGCCTCTCCCAGCCTCTGGTGGTGTCCTGGCAGTCGGGGCCAGGCCCAGTCGTCCCTGGGAGTTCTTCCTGTTGTCTTTCTGTCTTCACACATCTGGCTTTTCACAGGGATGCCCGTTACATTGGATTAGAGGCCCACCCTACTCTAGTATCACCTCTTTAACTAATTACATCTGCAACAGCCCTGTTCCTGAAGAAGGTCACGTTCAGAGGTCCTTGGGTCGGGGCTGTAATGTGTCTTTAGGGAGTAGGAAGGCGGAAGAACACAATTCAACTCGCAGCAGCAGCAGCTTTCTCGTGTGAGTGGCTCCCCTGTTACAGCCTTCCATATGTGCAGTAGTATTTTGGAAAGTTGTATGGAAAGCTGAGTAATATTTACAAGTATTTTTAAAAAGACTTATTAGAAAATTTTTCCTACAAAGATTATTCCATCTCCCTGAATAAAATCAAATGAGTACAGCATATTTATTAAAGCTAAATGTTCTAATGAAAATAAAATATCTTTTAAGTGTTATAAAATGAAAATACGGTGATTTTTAATAGTACCGAGTTAAAGATAATAGTGACTGCCCTGACTGGTGTGGCTCACTTGGTTGGAGGTCGTCTTGCAAAGCAAAAGGTCACTGGTTTGATTCCTGATTAGGGCGCATGGCTGGGTTGTGGGTTCGGTCTCCAGTGTGGACACATACAAGAGGCAACTGATCGATGTTTCTCTCTTTCCCCCTTCCTCTCTCTCTCTCAAAACAACAACAACAACAACAGCAACAAAACCCAGATGACAGTGACTAGACATTTTTATGTGATTCTTAAAAAAGTCATGCAGTGAGGATAGATACCTTACATTCTCTTTTTGCATTTTTGTTCTCACTCATGCAAAATGGCTTCTTTCCAGATCAGTTTAACCTCAAGATGAAATCAAATGTGACAGTGGAGAGGACAGAGTTTTTATTTAGTCCCGTTGCTCTCTGCGGGGGTTCTTTTTTTGGTAAACATTGCCATTCTAATGGGAAACCTTTTAAAATTCCTCCTTGCTTTTCCTTCTTCCTTATGTATAAGTCAGAAACCAAGTATTTATTAATTTACAAAGTCTTAAAAGTTACTACATTCTTGGTAAGTCTGTTTGATGTCATTCCATCCCTTGGGAAATCAGCATTCTATCTGAGTAAATTGACAAATTGGCATCTGGTTTTCTCTCTGGCTTTTTGTATGGGATCAGATAAACTAGGACACTCTCTCTACTTTAAATCTTACTGAAAAGAATTTTTTAATAAAGTTCATTAATGTGGGAAAATGTAATGTATTTAGCTGTCTTTCTAGTGAGTAATTTTTCTCATTTCTTTGTAAAACAGGCAGTTAAATCTCATCTCTTAAGACCTTATGCTTATTTTAGGATGGACTGGGGTAATGTGCTTTAATTGAGCTGCTACCTCGTCATGTTTAAAATATTTATGAATTTAAGTATCATAGAGGTGTCCAAAGTCTGTGCACTTCAAAAGACCAAAACTCAAAGCACCAGAATTTGGTAAGGAAAGGCGTTTTGATTAAGAAGATGCCAACTGATTAGATGGGGGATCTAATCCTCAAACTCACCTTAAGAAACTATAGAGTTCAGGCTTCTTTTAGGTCAGAAAGGGGAAGGGGGGCTCCTTTTGCCACATGCAGTTTCATCTAATAATTAGCACGTCTGCGTGCAAGACAAAGCAGGGGCTACTGGCCTGCAGGCTGTGCGAAGAACACAGGCTTGCACACAGGGAGTCAGGAGGGGCCACACGTTTCACTTTGTTACATCAGAATCCTAGAATTCATTGGGACTGTAGGTATTGTCATGTCTGACATCTCTCCCAGACGCAGTAATCTGTCCACTGCTCCTGGTCTTTAAAATCTCTAGTGACTGTGAATTCATCCCTTTTCTAGCCATCCCATTATGTTTTCACATAAGCAATTATTCTTTCAGATGGTTTGTCTTTTTTTTTAAAACAAAATACTGCCTTCCTGAAACTTCTACCTACTGACTTTGGTCTTACCCTCTTCGACCACCCACAGGAAATCTGCTTCCTCTTTCACATTCTGTACACTAGGGCCTACCCGTGTGGGAAGTCTGGCATATCTTCCACCCCTGCTTTTTGCTCGGCTGCATCTCTGTAGTTCCTTTAACTCTTGCTTATGTGACATAGTTTTCAGATATAATTTTTCTGCTTTCCCTTCTAGTTTATTAATGTCACTTAAGATGGCACTCAGAACAGGTTCTCGTTTTCCTGAACTCTTGAATCTGAAATTCTGGGTCCCAGCTTCCCCCTGATTTGGACGTGCAGCCAGGCTGGATAGCCTTGGCAATGTAAGTGCCCTGAAGGGAAGCACATTGATAGGGTAACTCCAGAGTTAAAGAGTTTAGCCTTAGTTGATAGGCTTAAGTGATAAATGCCAGTGGAAGGCTGCCATTCCAGGAACTGGAATGAATGACTTGGGATGTCAACAAGCAATTCAGCTGTTGTGCCCCAGCGAGCAGTGGGGATGATATTTGGCCATCGTGTTTAGATACAGAATTGTTGACCAACAGACAAAGAAGTACCAGGAAAAAACCAGGTACTTCTTCCTGGTCTGCAACTCATATCCAGTTAACCTTTTTTTCTAAATACCTTATCTATCCCCTCTTTTCCTTATAAAAGTGTTAGCTTAAAATGAGATGTTAAGATGATTTTCCAGAGTACTTAACAAGCTGTTATCTCACGTCGCCGGTCATCCGAATTAAGTGCCCGTAAAGATTCAATCCTTGTCTCTACTTACTGGTTCTGGAAGTGACCGGCAGCATGAACACTGACTTATCTGGGTTCAACACAATGCCTTGGACGAGTGCCTCACATAGAAAGGAAGTGATGGCCATATTAAGTTCTGAAGATGAAACATAACTAAATAAAATTATTGAAAAAAAAAGTTCCGAAGAATATGCCAGGCAGAGGTGAACAGCAAGTGTGATGCCCCGTAAATAAGAAAATGAGCCTGAAGTTTTTGAGGAACAGGAAAGAAATTGAGTGGGTGGTTGGCACAATTACTGGACATTAAGTAGAAGTGGCTGTAAATGAGGTTAAAGAGAATGGTGGGGACCCAATCATAAGGGCCCTTAGAAATTGTATTAAAGAACTGAACCAATCCTGAGGGTAATAATGAGTCGTTACAGGGAGTTTTAAGTTAGGAAAAGAAAACAAAAGCAGGCATTGATTTTAAAAGGATCATTTTAGCCCAAATGGGAAAGAGTGGGAGGCACTGATATCCGTGACTAGTAGATCAGTTAGCAGCTGTCAGGGTATGTTTTAGTTACGGTGGTGGTGCCCAGACCTTGACTAGTGTGGCTCTCGTATTGGGAAGAGAGAGATAGTTTAGAAAAATAGTTGAGAGAATTTGATTGCTAGTTGGCTGTGGGGGAAGAGATAGAAAGCTATCATAAATATGTAGCAGAGTTTGTGAGCTCAAATGCCAACAGGGCCAGACAGATGGCCAGGTTAGGTGCTTGCGTGAGAGGTGACAACACCTGTGGGGCACTGCACACCCTGTCCCAGCTGCAGGACTAGCTGCCAGTCAGCTCCAAGAGGGCGTTTCCATGTGCAAACATGGGCCCATTATTGCCTCATCTCCTGTTTTTTCCCCAAGAGACATCAGAAATCATGATTTTTATGTTGTCCTCTGATATATAAATGTAGGTAGCTGTCTTTTAACATGCTGTGTAGGCCGCCTTTTGTGGGTCGAGTAAATAAATGTGTCGTATTCTGCCTAACGGGCAAAGCTCTGATAATAGTTGCGTCTGGTGTACTGTGGACACTAGAATCAATGTACGTACGATGGGGAGGGGTGGTAACTGTAATAAGCACATTACAACCTTTGAAATACAGGTTGCTTAGTTTGAACAGGGCGCTTAGTGAATCTGGTGTGTTATGTTCAGTTTTCATATGAATCAGTTAACTATAGGTGGGTCTTGGGAATTGCGCCCTGCAACTTTTTGCCTCCTGATTGTGTGGTTTCATTTGCAGATAAGGGCCAGTTGTGAGTCTGTGCAGTTTTAAGTGAAACCTCAACCCAAGTGAGAAGACATCTTCAAGGAACAACTGTTGACAGTGAGTCTGCAGTCATCTCTGTGCATAATGTGGAATGTTTTCAAGCCAGAGACAGCTGAGTGGGTGACTATTGATAAGGAGTGGTGAGTCTAAATGCCCCCGTGGATAACTTAAATCCTTTCCTTTAAAGGGGACTGCTCCTCCTACATTCCTGGCATTTACTGACTGTTGACTCTTGGGTGAGAATGACAGCAGTCCGGTTTGAGAGAATGCTTTGTCCCTCACAGCGTGTGTCAGGTATCATTGCAGTGTCGGCTTCTTCTTCAGCTAGGCACATCCCTTCCTTCGTCTGTGTTGTTTGTTTTGTTTTTTCCACTAGTCCAGATTATATCATTCTTCGGGGCCCGTCTTCCTCAAAATACTCAGCCAACGCTGAAGTGGTGGTCTTAATAGTGACCAGCATCTGTTCTGAGCTTGGTTATGGTAGGTTTCATTGCCTTTGGAAGTGATCGTTTTAGGGATGGGCATGGGACCCAGGCTCGGCCAATGGGAAATGAAAGGGAGGTCTGCGAGGGGCTCCTGGGAAAGGATTTTTCACCTTTTTAAAAATTTTTGTTTACTTACTTTTGGAGAGAGGTGAAGGGAGGGAGAAAGGGAGAGAAACATCAGTGTGTGGTTGCCTTTCACACCCCCGCCCCCCCACCCAGTGGGGACCTGGCCCACACCCCAGGCATGTGCCCAGACTGGGAATTGAACTGGTGACCCCTTGGTTTGCAGGCTGGCACTCAATCCACTAAGCAACACCAGCCAGGGCTGATTTTTTACTTTGAGAAAGAAGAGGTGATCCCTCTTCTTCCTAGAGCTTGTTTTAGTAGATGTGACGTTCATGGCTTCTGTGTTCATCTTGGCTACTAGCCTGGAGGTGAGGCCCTTCCATAAAGGGGGGCAGAGGTGAGAGATGTCCGGAGACTGGAACTGGGTGGAACCCCACTGAATAGACCCTCCCTGGTGGTGGGGTCCTCTTAATGTGAGATCATTGGTTTCCTTATTGTTTAAGCAATTTTGCCTTCAGACGCTCTGTTACTCACTGCGGAAATCATTCTGGTTCGTTTGATTTCCCCCCTTTGCGATTACCCACTATCTTTTCGTCTCACACGCATTTCTGCTTGCACTGTTCTGTGCTGTCTGGTAATGTTTGTGTCTGTTGCCTTTGTGGCACATTATATACTTTGTGAAGTCACAGTCTGTGTTTATATCCTTACTGTGTCTAGTGCTAGTACTGTCTTTTTGATAATGCCACCAGTGTGTATTTATTGAATTAAATTATTTGAACAGTATTTGAAGAACTGGTCCACATAATTGAATAAATATAGAGATTTTCTTTTAATTCTCATTCTTTTCTTTAACCACACTGTTTTCTTCTAGAGTTGAGTGAAGTTTGGCTTTCCATTTTAGATGACTGGTGTGTCACACATTTTCAAGTGGTTAGTTCTCCTCTACAAATGTTGTTTGGATGTGGCCTTTTGTGTTTGTTCAACTTTACCATGAAAATCAGCTCCTGTCCCATGTATTTGCATATTGGCTTTCAATCAAATAAATTTTGCATGTTTCTCTGTTGCAAAACAGAACAGTTTACCTTCTATTTTCTGTGCTGATTGTAGCAGTGAAGGACATGGATGGTAAGAAGCATGATAAGGATTAATTTGTTTGGCTTTGGAATGTGCATTCACAAAAACCTCCCTAAAGGGTGCCTGTTTGTTCAGTTCTTAAAATCTAATTGTGTGTTGGGGGGCTGGGGTGAGGTGAGACTCTGGGGCAGAGGAGGTTTGGTGGTCATCTAGTATCTACTGAGAGCAGTCTTGAGTTACAGGATGGATTATTTAGTTGCTTGTATTTCAAAACTCTATGAAACAAAACCATTTTCCCCTAACTTAAGATATTCATGTGTTCTTCTATCTTTAAATTCTGCTATTATAATCTTTAAAAAGAGGAATAAGAGCCTCTTTTTTCTTCCTGAAAAATCTGTGTTGTTGCTTTCTGTTCTGTTAAGGAGAATCAGAAACCTTTGTTGTAATCTGGTAACACATTCTGAACCCTTCAAAGAGTGATTCAGCTCTGGCCAGTTATCTCAGTTGGTTAGAACATGATTCTGATAGACCGGGGTCATGGGTTTGATCCCTGGTCAGGGTACATACAAGAATCAACATAAATAATTGGGACAACAAATCATTGTGTCTCTTGCTCTCTCTCAAGTGAATAAATTTTAAAAAGTAATTTACATTCAGGGAAGGATTTACTTTTTTTTTTTCCTTGATGGATTGTGCTTAAAATATGGGGGAATAACTTGAAGAAGATGGGAAGTTGTATGATGTGATGTGCTTGACTCACCAATTTTAATTTGTAATAGCATTACTTAGTAATAGGGAAGGTTTAAATCACCAAGGTCAGCTTTCATGTGTTTTCTTGGGTACATGTTATGAAGAGATTGTAGCACTGGAATGTGTATCTCAGCCCAAGGCCGACACGGTACACGTGCCATCTAAGCCAGATCAGTCAGAATGCCCTTAGGACATTTGCTGGAAATGCTGCGGCAAAGGCACTAATTTTTTTCTGCTGAATGTCAGCCTGAAAGTGTGCAGTCATTAAATTCCCGGTGGCTGTCTTCTGACTGTAAAAGGAAAGCCAGTTGAATTAGAAGCCAACACAGGATAAGGTGTGCGGAGGAAAACCATGCCCCTAGTCAGGTCTTCCCCCAGGATCCTACAGCACCAGACTGTTCAGTTACCTGAGACAGTACATTCTTTTACCTAATTCAGCTAGCTTTGGATTTTATGTTCCATGTATATAAAACATCCTAATTGACGTATCTTTGTTACCATCCATTCAACATTATCTAATAACTCAAGGATTTACTAAAACTTGAATTGTGAATTAAGCAAGTAGGTCTCTGATTACAGGTTTACGAGGTGGCAGGTACTACAGTTCACTGACACAAGAATTCAAGTATAAGTACAGGAGCTAAGGCGGTAAACAAATGCATAGTCCATACTTTGCTAATGGAACTTATTATCTGGAAGAGGCCGATATTATGTGAACAGTCCTACTAATGACTAGGTTCTTACTAACTGAGTTTAAGGTTCTAGAAGAAAAGGAGTGTGCTTAGCTCTTTGGGGGGGCGGGCCTTCTACTGAACCACTGGCATCTCCAGAAGTGTAAAACACAGCTGTGGGCGGCCTGGGATCTGGCTGAATTTAAAAAAAAATAATGAAAGTTCTTATTAATCTCTTTTTTTCCCTAAGAAGACATTAGAAATGTATAGGACTGCATCCTTTATTGAAAATTTGGGGGCCAGGTATGTGTTGAACCTTCAAGAGTCTTTGGATTTGGGGAAGGTTAATATGGTATATATGGGACTTCCGCCAAGATGGAGGCATAGGGGGATGTGCCGTGCCTTCTCACACAACCAAGATTAGAGAAAACTAAATATTAGCAACAGAAAACACAGCCAGAACATGGAAAATTGAACTTTTTGGAAGTCTGTTAACAACAAATTCTTCAGCCTGACCGGTAAGGGGCGAAACCAGTGGCTGGTGGAGCGGGGTTGCGCGGGAGGACTCGGCCAGACGGACTCAGGCGCGGAATCCATACCCGCTCGGAATCCAGGTGCAGGGTCGGACCTAGTGAGCGACCAAGCGAGCGACCAGGTGAGCGACCACGGGGGAGACAGCGGGGCAGCAGGGCTGCGTGTTGACTGAGGTCGCGCATTTGTGCGCGGGTGGACAGGTGAGGGAGTGGGCGGTTGGACCGGGCCTGGCAGGTCCCTACAGCAGGCGGCAGTGGAGGGCGCTGCCATTTCCCTGCTCTGACCCCACCTCCACATACAGTGTCATAACCCAGCGACTCTGAGTGGCCCGGCCCAGGTGAACCACCTAAGGCACTGCTCCTCCGCACCCAGCTGTGAGAAGCGACAGAGGAGGTCGCCATTTCCCCGCTCTGACCACGCCCCCACATACCGCCTCACAACCCAGCGACCTGGGAGTCCAAGGCACCGCTTCTCACACTTAAAGGGCCCGAACAGACCAAGAATGGCGCAGGAGGATCTCAGAGCCCCAGAGCCAATAGATCTAAGCGATGAAGAAATAGCAAAACTCACAGACACACAGTTTAAAACATTGGTGATCAGGATCCTCACAGAACTGGTTGATTATGCCCACAAATTAGACAAATATATGAAGGCGAAACTAATTGAAATGAATGGAATTGCACAGGACACCAATAGCAATGAAAAGGAAACTGGGACTCAAATCAATGGAGTGGACCAGAAGAAAGCAAATAATGGCCAAACAGAAAAGAGTCAAGAAGCAAGAATTCAAAGAAATGAGGAGAGTCTTAGGAACCTCCAGGACATCTTTAAACGCTCCAACATCAGAATTATAGGGGTACCAGAAGGGGGAAAGGCACAGCCACCAGTGGATAACTTATATGAACAAATAATAAAGGAGAATTTCCCCAATCTGGCAAAGGAAATAGACTTCCAGGAAATCCAGGAAGCTCAGAGAGTCCCAAAGAAGGTGGACCCAAGAAGGAACACACCAAGATACATCATCATTACATTAGCCAAAATTAAAATGAAGGAGAGAATCCCAGAAGCAGCAAGAGCTAAGGGGACAGTCACCTACAAAGGAGTCCCCATCAGACTGTCAGCTGATTTCTCAAAAGAGACCTTACAGGCAAGAAGGGGCTGGAAAGAAGTATTCCAAGTCATGAAATCCAAAGACCTACAACCAAGATTGCTCTATCCAGCAAAACTTTCATTTAAAATGGAAGGACAGATAAAGTGCTTCTCAGATAAGATCAAATTCAAGGAGTTCATCATCACCAAGCCCTTATTATATGAAATGTTAAAGGGACTTATCTAAGAAAAAGAAGTTAAAAAACATGAACAGTGAAAGAACAACAAACTCACAGTTATTAACAACCACACCTAAAACGAAAGCGAACTAAAAGGACAGCTAGATCAGGAGTGGAAACATAGAAATGAAGATCTCAAGGAGGGTTAGCAACAGGGGAGTGGGAGGAGGAGAAGGGGAGAGAAGGTACAGAAAATAAGTAGCATAGACAGTAGATAGAAAATAGATGGGGG